ATCGAAGAAGCTGAAACTTAATTCCTGCCAGGCGGTAACGATCGACGAGCACCACATCTGCGAGGGGTTTCAAGAGGAGATCAGTTCTGATTATCGGGTTTGGGAGTGACACGGGCATATCATGTTGTTTGATGAGGAGAACGGGTACACACTAGAACACATATACAGGATTACTTCGAGAGCTTGGCGCGGGCAAGAGGTAAATTATGAGTGAGGATAAGAAGAACGCAGTGTTGATGATGACGATGAAAAGGCCGAGGAGGCTGAGAAGGTGATGGTTGGAGGGTTGAAAGAGCTGATCGAAAGTGTGGAGTCCGGCAGCGGGCGGATCCTTCATCGGACTAGGAATGTGAAATCCAGGTCGTTTATTCAACATTTTGATTTATTTGCTTGAGGGACTATTCTTCTTCTTTGAAGGTAATTTTTTTTTTTAAAATTTATTTGTCCTAATTTATTTCAAATTTATATTTAATTTAAGTTCTAATATTACCAATGCGTTGTTTAGCCATTGTCGTGTTCATTGATCATTTCAATTTGCAATAATACATGTAATTCATGTTAAAAAATTCAATTATTTTAGATGTTGCAATATGTTTCTTCATTTGGGTTAACTATTTCTTTGGGCTTAGATTAAACGATACAATTGGGCAGAGGAATGACCCATTATAAAGAAGTTTAGTTTATTATTTTGTCAATTTAAGGCAAAATTGCATTTTTGGTCCTGCTGATTTGGCCTCGTGGCATTTTTAGTCCTGAGATCGGAGCAATTTTCTATATAGTCCCGTAACTTCGAAAGTCAACGCAATTTTAGTCCTTCCGGCGACCAAAAGTCAACATTGCGGTCGGATTTGTCACGTGGCCCGCACATGACGCCCTCGTGGCCGATCTCCTCTAACATGGTAAGCCTGGATGCTGACGTGGCAACCAAATGAAATAAAGCGACATTAAAAAATAGAAAAATAAATTAAAAAAATAGAAAATAACAAAAGGAGATCGACTCTCACACTCACACACACTTAAAATCCCCAAATTCATCGTCGTCCCCTGAAGAACCCTAAATTCCCAAACCCAAACCAAGAACCCTAATCCCCAGATTTACCAAATTCGCAAATAAATGTCGTCGAACTCATATGTAAGGGATCATAGGTAATGTTATTGCGGTGTAAGGCCAGTCATTCGAACCTCTTGGACATCGGACAATCCCGACCGCCGATTTCGTTCTTGCATTGAGTACGAGGTAAGTGGATATTGTTTTCCAATTCTTTTGTGGTTCATTTTTTTGGGCAAAATTATTCCTATTTTTCTTTGTAAGAAAACCCAGGGTGTAATTTTTTCTCTTGGGTTGATCCTCCTATGTGTAGAAGGTCCACGGAAATTATTCCTGGATGCTGCGAAAATCAAATGTTTTGCGTGCTGAGAATGAAGAATTCCGAGAGGAAAACATTAGATTGGTTGAATGCAAGAAGAAGCTGGAGTTAGAGATGTCGGATTGGCAAAGGGAGTTGAAGTCCGCGGAAATGATTCCTGGATTGTTGCAAAAATCAAATGAGTTGCGTGCTGAGATTGAAGAATTGCGAGAGGAAAACATTAGATTGGTTGAATGCAAGAAGAAGCTGGAGTTAGAGATCTCGGATTGGCAAAGGAAGTTGAAGTCCGCTAAAAAGGCCAAATTTTGGTTGCTCATGGGGGTAGTGACTCTATTTTTGTACATGTTCTTAAAGAACAATTGATCTGACCGAGTCTATGAAGAAGAAAATGGTAGTGTTAGACTAGCTTTGTTATGTTTGAACTTCTTGTTTGTTATTAGCCTAATGTTGTGACTGTTTTTGAACAATTGTTGAATTATTTTGTTTGAATTCACTTTTGTTGTAATGAAAGTATGTTATGTGTTATTGTATGTTGTGTGTTATTGAATGTTAATGGCTATTGCTTTGTTGTTGAATGTTGGCATGGTGTTTATGGCTAGCAGTTACTAATGAATGTTAAGGGTGTTTCAATTCACTTTTGCTTTGTTTATGGCAAACACAATGTAACTTCTCACCATATTTGACAGACACTGAGAGTGCTAAACTATTTATACAGGCAAAGATTTCTAACCAAATCTCTTTTATTTTTTCTTGTGCATTTTGAGTACAAATCTTGTGCATTTTGAGTACAAATCTTGTGCGGGTAGGAAATCTTGTGCATTTTGAGTACAAATCTCTTTTCTTTTTTCTCCTTGTTTGGGAGATGGGATATCACAACCACCCCCTTTAACTACTAATAAATAGGAATTGAATGTTAATGGTACATGACCTAAAAACCACTGATAATTTCATAACCTAAAAACCATCCATTAACATGCTTTAACTTGAATGAACACATTAACTTCATAACTTGAATTACAAAACATCCATAAACCTGTTTCACTGCCATAATCCAAAATCCAAATTCACCATTTTCACCATTACACATCCAAAGGCAAAAACCATCCAAAAACCATCATCACAAAACCATCCAAAAAACACCACAGTTTGAATTACCATCCAAAAGCACCCTAAACCATCAAAAATCATCAAAACACACCACAGTTTCAACAGTTTCAATGACCATCAACAATTTTCAACAAATACAAACACTTTTAGTTTTCATCTCTTGATTGCATTGAACTCTGCAGCTGTTGGTAAGGGGTAGGCCCGGGCTGATTGGCAATTTAGGGATTTCATACTCATCAATGAGTTCACACAATGACTGCAACTCCTCATCTTCTTCTTCATGGCTTATGACTGGTGGCAAAAGTGTAGGATTCTGAAAAAATGATTGAATTGAAGTTAAATTTCAATATGCTTAAAAACAATTGGTTTCAGAAGTTCAATTTGTTATACACCAATGAATAATTAAATGATTGTAATGAACACTTACTTGTGAGGATTGTTCTGTCCCAACTGTGGCCTTCTTTGCCCTTTTCCTTTTACCTCTGTCAGCAACAGCTCTTGCTCTTTTCCTTTCAAGCTATAGAATAAACATAGAATAAAGTGAAGTCACATAAACATAGAATAAAAAATAAGAAAACATTACTTATAACAGAAAACTTACAATTGTATTAAAAGCCCTTTTTAATGGAGAGTTGTCCACTTCTTGAGTTACTTGACTTTGGTTTTGGCTTAAAGTGTTCATTTCTTTCTCCTTTCTTTTCTCACAAGACATTGCATTGTGGCCAGCCATGCCACACTTTTTGCACCTCACAGTTGGCTGTTGCCTCTTCATTTTCATTGGTTGTTTCCCTCTCCTCTTTTTCCCTTTCTTGTTAGGCTCTTCTTGATCTCTTCTTCTTGCCTTTGAAGGCCTGCCAGCACCCCTCCCAAAGTTGGGAAGTAAAGGAGGAACAAAAAGGGTCTTTCTCCACAATAAAGGACCATTTGTGCCTAGTATTGGCCCCCTATACACATTCCTATAACAGTCTTGTGAATAACAACCATCTACAAAGTCAACAGGCACCAGCTTCTGAGCTATTATGGAACTACATGCATGCTTACAAGGAATGCCCCCCAAATCCCATACCCTACAGCTGCAAATTTTCTTCTCCAAATCAACAGTAAACTGTGATCCATCATAACAATTAATCTGATAGTGCCTATCATCACATTTAATTGGCATGCAGTCAGATACATGTGACAAGTGTTTCTGAAGGATCAAGTTTATGTTAGGGAAAATTTTGTTCTTCCACATCAACTCTGCCTTATCTCTTTTTTTCTGCATCTTAATGCATATGTACTCTCTAATCCACTCAAGCATAGTGATAATGGGCTTTTCCCTTGCTTCAAGAATGTTGGAGTTAAATGTTTCACACACATTATTGAGCAACATGTCACACTTTGGCAGTTCAGAAAAAAAAAGCTCTTGACCGATGTTGTGGTGGTTTATCAAGAAACCAATTAAAAGCATCAGGACTCATCTTTTTTATTTCAAGCATTCTTGTATTAAACTCAGCAATAGTGGTTGCTTGTGCTGCTCTCCACACAGCAAACCTATAGACCAAACCCCTAAACCCAGCCTTCAAAAAATTGTTGTGAAGGTGCCTTACACAGAACCTGTGAGTAGCCCAAGGGAAGACAACATCAAAGGGTTTGATAAGCCCCTTCTGCTTATCAGAAATGAAGGTATACTGGCCTAGAAATGCCTAAATCTTTCTTCAAAATTATGATAAACCACTCCCATGTTTCAAAACACTCAATCCCTACTACAACAAAGGCAATGGGAAACAATGTGTTGTTTGGGTCTACACCTACTGCAGTCAAGAGTATCCCCCTATGTGGACCCTTTAAATGACAGCCATCTACACCCACAATTGGCCTACACCCATTCTTGAACCCCTCTCTAAGAGCACTAAAACAAACATAAAATTTGTTGAATCTCTCCTCACCATCAAACTTCTCAGTGGCAAGAACAACTGTTGACCCAGGGTTTGAAGTTCTCAACTCCTCTGCATAATCCCACAATTGGGAATACTGATCATCAGGCTCTCCTTCAAGTTGTGCCAGGGCTCTTCTCTTAGCCCTATAGGCCTGATCCTTTGATATATTAACATTAAGCTTGTTAATAATATCAAGTCTCCAGCCTTTAACACTTCTTTTAGGATCAGTTTGAAAATGGCTTAAGAATTTTTCACTTAGCCACTTTGATTTGATGTTTTTAACCTCAAAAGTTTCAGAGCAAGAGTGAATGGGGTTGGATTCCCTAATTTGGAAACTGGCTTGATCCTTCATTTTCAATAGGTTTATCTTCCAATTACACTCTTCATCTGCACATCTCACATACACCCTTATCTTATCATTCTTTTCTGTCTTAAGGTTTCTGTTGGTTTTAATTGAATGTGATTGGATGGCTTTTCTAAATTCTTCTTTAGTCGCAAACACCATTCCAATATCAAACACAGGATCCCACACTTGGTTAGTATTAAACACAGGAGGATCAACATCTTCATCATCACTACCCCTCAGTTTATCTAAATCATCAGGAACCTCAACCACATCATCATCACTATCAGTACTAGAATCACCATCTTCCCCCCCACTAGCCCCTGCATCCACATTCTCACTAAACAATGCATCATCATCATCATCACTGCTACTATTTCTAAAATCATAATCACTATCAAGAAAATCATCCTCATCTTTTTGCCTCTCTTGTTCACTCTGTTCATTCTCACAAACACCGCCCTTCCCACTCTCAGAACCATTGCCCTTCCCACTCTCATTTTTACTTTTTTCACTCTCAGAACCACTAACCTTCCCACTCTCATTTTCATTTTTTTCACTCTCATTTTCACTCTCAGCACCACTCTCAGAAACCACTCTCAGAACCACCCTCCGAACCACTCTCAGAACGACTCTCAGACTCACTCCCACTCTCAGAATCAGAGTCAAAATTAATCCATCCCCCATCCATGGACAAACTAGAAGGATTGAATGTACCTTCATTTTCAACATACAAAGTCATTTCTCTACAACGATATTTATAATATAAAGCCCTTATTTTAATGTCTTCATCATCAAGCAGTGGCTTGAAAGCCAAACCAATCAATAAGAAGTACTTCCTACTACCAACAACACCAAATTTGTCAGACATTTTCTTCAATGTGGAATTATTCAAGGACCTCATATAAACAAAATCAAATGTCATTTTAGACCCTCCTTGATAACACACAAAACCTTCTGTTTGAAATGTTCCACCACACCATATAGTTACTGTAAACAACTCACCACTACGATCTATGGAGAACAGACCCAAAAAACCAAACAAACAAAGAAACAAGACAAAGAAACAAACACAGAGAGTTTGTCAGGAACCAAAAAAAAAGAAGAAAAAAAATACAGAAATACAAAAACAAAAGAAACAAACAGGGGTATCAATGAAAAAGGAAAAATTGCATTAAACTCAGCGTATTTAGGGATGTCTGCATCCCAATATTCCTTTGACCTAATCCATATGGACTTCACCATCTTCGCGTTCGTTCAATCAACCTTCTCACCCGATCGGCTTTATCTCCTTCTCACTCAATCGACCTTTATCTCATCGTCGTCTCTCTGAAATCGTTTCTCTCTGGAATATTCTCTCAAGAACGCCTTTCTTCGAATTTCCCTCCTCTCTTGAAAAAACCCGATTGAATGAATTAGGGTTTTGATCTTCTGAAATAACGTTTCATCTGCCCATTTTCCCTCCATTAATAATTGATTACGTGTTATTTTCTGTTTTTTTAATTTATTTTTCTATTTTTTAATGCCCGCGTGGAATTTTGTTTTTTTTTGGTTTTTTTGTTTCATTTCATTTGGCTGCCACGTCGGCGTCCAGGCTTGCCATGTCAGAGGAGATCGGCCACGAGGGCGTCACGTGCGGGCCACGTGACAAATCCGACTGCAATGTTGACTTTTGGTCGCCGGAAGGACTAAAATTGCATTGACTTTCGAAGTTACGAGACTAAATAGAAATTTGCTCCGATCTCAGGACCAAAAATGCAATTTTGCCTCAATTTAATTTGAACCCTAGGAAGTAGGAACCTATTTTACCAGCATTATAGCCTTTTTCTCAAAAATATCTTACTTCTGATTCATTCTTCGCCGTGGATTTACATCTAGATAAAAGTTGATTTGATGTTTGCAGTGAATACTTATCATGCAGTAGTATTTTATATATTTTTTTACACGACAATATTTAGTTTGTTATTTTTTGGGTATTATAATATTTGCTCAAAGGATAAAAACCACTAAAATCACCATTTTCATCCACATTATTCATTGTTCATCTTGCTTTGCTGCTAGAGCTGTAAGATTTTTGTCCCTTTTTTATTTTTCAATTAATCTATTTTGGTTAGGATAGTTCTAAAATTTTCTGCACACATGATTAAAAATCTGTTGCACCTTTGTTATTTTGTTGTTTAATGAACACTTCTTCTTTTTCAGGTAATATTTTGTTGGTATTTTTGCCTTATGATTCATGTTGAAAGTTGACTGTTTAATTATATAGAGTTTTAAAATTTCTTCTTGCCTGCCTATGAGATATATGAGATAGATACATGGTGTTTATGTTTGTATACATACGAGTTCTATATTTTTTGGTCATTGTTGTTTGTTGCCTACTGTTGGTTTTTTAGGGGAATATTTTCCTATTGGGTTCTCTTTGTCTTATGATTCATGTTCAAATCTCACAGCTGCCTATGAGATAAGTACATGGTGTTTATGTTTGCATATGTCGTGTGTCTGTGTATCAGCAAGTATGTTATGTTAGGAAATATACAAAAAACCAATGTCCTTGAGTTAAACTATGTAAATTGTAGTTTCCTACATTTTTCGTTTTTTGTGTTATTTTTTCTTCATATGTTGGTTCTTTTGATTTTGTTTGTTTGTTCAACCTGTCAATCGCAATTTGTCATTTTTGTTAAGAAAAATATAAAAATTTGTCTAGTTAGCTGCCAGATGGCAAATAATGTTATAGCTGCATAAAATTTTCTGCAAGGGCAAAAAATGTAATCTTTCTGACACGGGTTTTCCTATTTATATTTGGGAATGGAAGTGTTGTTACTTTATGTTTGTAAAAAGACCGTCTTAAAAAGTTTGTCTACTTAATACCAGGTAATACAATCATGTTGCTGATTCATTAATTTAAAAAAGGTGTTGTATAACTACTTAATGTCTTTCTATTGGTTCTTTGGTTATACTTACTCACCAGTTTTCTTTTTTTTTATGTTGACTCAATGTTTTATACTTTATTTATCATTCATCTGATAATTGTGAATTTATACATGTGTCGAAACATATATATGACTTGCAACCTTTACTTTGGTAGAATGCATTCCTTTTTTATTTGCTCTTTCGAATAGCCTTCATGCTTTACTAACTTAATAAGTTTTTGTTGTGAATGACTTTTACTTATCTCAATACTACTTTTCTAAATTTAATTTTCTAACTATTTAGTTCTTAATTCTCTTCTTTCAAAACCTTAAACAATAACAAGAAAGGAAAAAAAACTTTCATTTTCAATTCGCTGCCATTTACAAAAAAGTTTTGTGTGCATCCTTTTGTGTTTGTTTTTGTTATTTAGATGCATTATTGTTGCTGCAGAGGTATAAATACTATTGGATTGTTATTTTGCAGTACATTTAAACTCGTTTGAAGAATGGCATAAAGGTTATAGCATATGTTTTGTTCATAATCGTTAGTAATAGTGTTACTATTTCTCTATGTCCAGGTTTTCTGCTGTTGTACCGAGATCTGGAGGAGAATATCAGGTATTAACTGAGAGATTTGTGTATAGGTTTTTTTATTACTGGTGTTTAATTTTTTTAAAAAATGACTACTACACAATGTCTTTAAAAGAAAGATATACATGAGATTGGGTTTATTCAAATAAGTAGCTCTTATTGACGAACTTTTATGTAAGCTTTTATGAATATAATCATTTGTGTTTCAGTAAATGAAAGTGTCATGTTAAGCAACTTTACTTAAATGTTAACAAGGTACCTAAATATTTTGGGTATATGGATGCCATTGTTTTTCAAAAACTATTTAATGTATAGAAAATGCTATTGCATTTACTTTCTGTTTATTTGTATCAATTTCTTCATGTATAGAAACATAACCACACTGTTAACTATAATTTTACAAAAATATATTGTATGTACATATTTATTCAAAGCGCTCCTTATATATTTGAAAATTTTTTTATAGATCGAATTTATTTCCCGGGTTGTGTTTTAATTAGCTTGCTGCTTTACTGTTTTCAGGATAAATTTTAATTCCTTATTCGCTTTGTTAGTTCACGCTCTTTCATCCATACTTTTGCCGCTTGCAAACTAAGGTTGGTAAAAATAATGAAAAATATATAAGTTTCCAAAATTATACTACCATTTTAAAATATTTTTCATTGCACATATCTGCATGTTTTGTTTTGTTTCTTTTTACTTTGCTTGTTTATACTATTAATATAAAGGACTAATTTTGTTTGGTACTGTTATATTAGATTTTTGTTTTAGTTAAAGTATAAAGGTTATCAGCTATATATTTAGCTATATTGTACACAATGGCTTGGATTCTGGATGAGTGCTCAAAATTTCATGGTAATTCACCTGCAGTTATAGGAAAGCCAACAGTAAGTAAAACCTAAAATAAGATAGATAAACTTTGCAAAATAATAATTGAACTCATTATAACTCTTTTTAAGTTGTGTGCTTGTGTTTGATGCATAGGACCTGGGAGGATCACTAGGACGAGAAGCAGCAATTAGGCATGGAATTGTATTTGAGACTGAAACCTTACTCACTGAACATGGAAAATTGATAAAGGATCTAACATTTGCCATCCAGGTATTACTCCCACTTGAGTAATTTTTGTCCAGATAATTACTAAGCTTATATTTCGTTGTGTTTCTCTATTCATTACAACTTTTTACATCATTGAATGTTGTCACGTGCCATTAAAGGGTTTGGAATGTTGGATCATGGGCTGCAAACATGAACTAGGTGGAAAAGTTATAGCAGTGAGTGACATGATATAACTGGAGCCGTGAAGAATTCTAATGGAATGGATAGACCAGCACTAATTCTACACAAACAGAAAACTGGTTCTTAATCCATGTATTTCATGTATCTGGTTGTATGTTTTGAGTTGGGTATTTTTGTTTCTTATGTATTCTTACTTTACAGTCCTATTTGTAGTAGTTTCAATTTGGTGACCAAATTAGTGTTATTTATGGAAGGGTAAATAATTATTTGCAACCTGTACTAATCGCGTTTTCGAATTTTGCAACCTATAGAATATTTTGTACTAAATTGCAACCTTTAATACACGGGTTTGCCTATATCGCAACCTCCGTCCATCGGCGGCTCGTTTTCCACCAGAAAAGCGAGCGTGCGACGCACACGCACGAATCTTGAGGGTAGATTTTCCATTTTGCATTACATTTGAAGGATAACTTTGTCATTTTATTCTCTAAGCATATAAGATTTATAAAAAAAATGGCGAAGATTTTGTTCATTTTTCTTCTTCAGCTCGAAATCGAAAATGGCTTGGAGACAAGAGGCGATGGGTTAACTATGTCAATGTGAGAAAAATGTTCTTACGAAAACATCATGGAGTGTTCAAAATCCAGGAAGGAGATACGCTACTTGTGTAAAAAATCGGGTAAAGGATTAATTAGATTAACCCTAATTGATGAATTTGGGCAATTTCAGTGAACCCTAGTTTTGCTTAAATTGGGTGAATTCAATAAACCCTAGTTTTACTTAAATTAATTTGTTTCTTTAACTGAATTTTGTAGGATGATGGTGGTTGTCCTTAGTTTTCGTGGATTGAACCACCTTTGTGCCCTAGAGCTTGTGAAATCATTCCCGGCCTTTTGAGACGTGCCAACAAATTCGAAAGTGAAGCTCAATTTCTTGAAGGACGTGATGAGGTTGGAAGATGATGTGAAGAAACTTCAATCTGATGTGAAGAAACTTCAATCAGATTTGAAAGATGCTGAAGCTTGTATTGAAAATTTTGTGGAAGAAAGGGCCAATCTTGAATTGTGTTTGAAGAGAAAAAGTGCTCGTGAGCATTGGCTGTGGATTGTGATTTTGATATCTTGGGTGATCATATATTTCATGTTGTAGGGTGTTTTCTAAGCTTTTAGATTTGTGGATCTCTTTTGCATTAGGTAGTGTTCAAACTCTTTTGGTTGTAATGTGAATGCTAATGATTGTAATCTTATCACTATGTGATGTGTGTTGAACTATTTTGGTTAATCAAGCACCATTTTGGTTGTTCAAACTCTTTTGCATTAGTTTATTTCTTTAGAATGTTAGTAAGATGTCTTTACATGATTTGTGAATGTTTGTGTATATATTGAGTACTTTCATTCCAAATCAAACAGAAATAAGAAATTGAACATATGTAACCTCCATAACACAAAACAGAAGTTCAATTATGTAATAGCCATAGTTCTTCCATTCCAACCCAACCTGTTTTTACAAGCCCAATGTCAAAAAACACTCTGTCACAACAACCAAAATAGATGACCAAACCAAAAGCTAACCATTGTATCTGATTTCAAAAACTTAAAACCACATCCAATCTGAGTTACCATAATATCCAAAACCACATCTAAAATCCATAACCTAACAACCATTACAGTTCAACAAAGTTATCAACCACATCCAAAACCAACCACAACCATTACAGTTCCAAAATGAAGACATCTATCAACCCCTAGTTATCCACTATGCTCCCACAACTAGTAATCCAATAGCTTCCCAATATCTCTGCCTCAGGATAAGATTGCACCACCTGCTTGTTCACAACCTGCCCTTTTGCTGTTGAAAAGCTTGCACCTTGAGTTAAAGGATTCTTTTTCCTGCTCACCTATTAATAGCACAGTAATATGATTACAATAGGTTGAAGCACATAGGGAAAAAATCACAAGAAAATGAGCATTATTAATACCTCTAGTTTCTTCTTCAATCCCAATGTCTTGCTCTTAGTCTGAATTTTTTGAGTCCTTTTTGGCACCAATTCCTTGGTAGGTGTAAGACCTTTGGACTGACTTCTTGTTAACCTTGTAGAGGTAGTTGCAGCTACACTTTGGCTTCTTGTTGTGGGTGAAGTTGCAACAGAAGTATGCCCTGTGCTCTGACTCCCTTTTCTCCTTGTAGGTGTAGATTGAGTTTGGTTCCTTGTAACTTTTGTAGGTGAAGTTGCAGCAGATTGAGTTTGGCTCCTTGTGACTTTTGTAGGTGAAGTTGCAGCAGATATATGCCTCTCATTTGTAGTCTGACTTTCTTTTCTCCTTGTAGGTGTAGCTGCAGATGTTGTGGGATTGCCTTTCTCATGAAAATGATGCTGAGACAGGACTTGTCTTCTGGTGACCCTTGTATGTGTCATTGCAACAGATTCTTGTGTTTGTAAAACATAACTTGCACTCGCAATTTCTTTCCTTTTCCCCTTCTGAAATAATGTTTTCAAATTAGAAAAAACACTTGCCCACAGTAATAAAATACACTTCAATAAAACACACCAATGTTCCCTTCTGTAGCAATTGTTTAAGTAACAACTAACCTTGCCCACAGTAATGTCCTCAATAGGGGCTGACACTTCACACTCTCTGCCACTTGCTCTGCTCTTCTTCCCCTTCAGAAAAAAAAAAAAATTATGTACAAAGTATGCTTTCAATTGGAATAAACTAAACACACCAATTAATAACAATTGTATAACAAAGAATATTACCTTAACCACATTAATCTCCTCAGTAGGGGCTGGTACTTCACTTCCACTCTCTCTCTCAGCTGTTTTCCTCTTGTTTCTCTTCATTAAAAAACAATTCAATTAATGAATCAGAAAAACAAATTTTTATAATAAAACACATAATTGTTTAACAAATTCATTTACCTTGACCACAGAACTATCTTCATTAGAGGGTGGTATAGGAAGTCCTCCAGTTGGTGCACTCTTGTCATTTTTCAAAGGGAAGGATCTGATGTTGTGGGTATCTTTCTTGCAGAGAGAACATTTTATTATTCTCCCTTTCCTACTGAGCCTCACTTCAACTTTTTTTTTGGATTTTCCTGGCAAGACCTCTTCATGGGGCTGTTTTTTTCTAGCATTTTGTTTTGGCCTTCCAGGTAGACTGCCAACAGATGGTGGTTTCAGGGGTATTGCTTCTACAGTTGGCCAACTTTCAGGAGGTTCAATAGTGCCCAACATCTCAGAATAAGCCTTCAAAAAAGTTTCTTTGTGGTACCAGTCAACAACATAGTCCTCTGGTTGAGTGCCCAACAAGAACATACCGCTTATGGCATGCTCACAAGGGATACCTATGAGGTCCCACTTCCTACATGTGCATGAGTTCTCCCCATATGAACTCTGAATCTCCTTGAGCTTCCCTCAACTTCAAATTGGTCTTCTCCATTCTAGTGACAAATAAAACTCATGGACTTCTTCTTCAATTCCTCCAACAGCTTCAAGATTTTTGGGCACAAGTTCCCATGCAGATGTTTTCTCATCTGATCCCTTCTCATCTAGGTCCTCTTCATCAAGATAAGTCTTATTGTTTCCAACATAGAAACAATAGGTTTACTCCTTGCCCTCAGAATGAGTGAGTTAAATGACTCAGACATATTATTCAGCTGCATATCACACTTTGAGTTGCAACTATAGTGTGACCTTGACCACTGATTTGTTGGTTTCTTAGCCAACAATTCAAAAGCTTCTTTATCCCTTCCTTCCAGTTCTTTCATTGCAGCATTAAAATCAACAACCCTAGTGGACCTGGCTGCTCTTCACAACAAGTTTTTCACGGCTAATCCCCTAAATGAAACCCTAAAGTTTCCATACAAGTGTTGGACATAGAACCTATGCTCAGCATTTGGCAGTAGAGTTTCAATGGCATCTACCAGCCCTTTCTGTTTATCTGACATTATTGTCCACTGAAAAGAATTCTCAATCACCAAATCTCCTTTCAACAGTTCAACAAACCAATGCCAAGTTTTTTTTTGTTTCCTCTTCAACAACAGAATATGCAAAAGGATACATACAGTTGTTTCCATCAACCCCAACTGCGGTCAATAGAACACCACCACAACTGGTTTTCAGATGGCAACCATCTAAGCATATCACCTTCCTACAACCCATAAGCAATCCCTTTTTTAAAGAGCCCCAACAAATATAAATTCTTTTAAACAGTGGCTCCCCATCTACAAGTTTGCTTTTAATTTTCACAGTGGTCCCAGGGTTGTGTCTTTGATCTCTTCAGCATAAGACCAAAGCATAGCATATTGCTCACAACTGAGACACATATTTTTTAGCCTGATACATTTGCCATCTTTTGAAAACAATCCATACTTCCCTTTGCATCTCTGTCATTATTGCCTCTACTGGCCATTTAGGATTATCTAATATCTTATTTTTGTAAGTTTCAGCTATCCATTTTGGAGTAGCATGACTCACCTTTTGGTTTCTAGGACACTTATGCCTACCATTGAATGTCTTAACCTGCCAGTGTCTTCATTCTGAACTTTAGATGCATAAATGAGCCAAGGACATGACTTATTTTTGCATCTTGCTTGCACTTATAGCTCAAATTATTTGTAAAAGACACTTCTCTACCTTGTGCAATTGCAAAGTTCCTAACAGCCTTTCTAAACATGTTTAAGTCAGGAAATTTCATGCCCAATTTAAACTGTGGATTTTGCATGTCTTTTTGATGATCAAAAGTTGGATGGGCATTTTTAGCTCTCTGCTTACCCTTGCTACATGCAAATTCAGGCCTATCAGGTTCCTCTCTAGTTATCCTTCCCCATTCAATTTCTGCATCTACATGACCCTCAAACATCTTATCATCTTCATCATACAAATGACAATCACTCTCAAGAAACTCATCAGAACACTCTGAGTCTGATCCAAAAGATTGGATTTCAAACTCACTATCAGAATCACCCAAATCATCATCACCACAATCATCATCACCTATATCATCATGATTTTGTTCAACAGTGAAATTATCAATTAATTCATCTAAATCCT